ACATACCTGGAGGTGTTACAATGACACATTGCTGCTTGTGTAAAGTTATAGGAGATCACTGTGAGAGGGAATACATACCTGGAAGAGTTACAATGACACATTGCTGATCGTGTGACGTTATATGTGATCACTGTGAGGGGGAATACATACCTGGAAGAGTTACAATGACACATTGCTGATCGTGTGACGTTATAGGAGATCACTGTGAGAGGGAATACATACCTGGAAGAGTTACAATGACACATTGCTGATCGTGTGACGTTATAGGAGATCACTGTGAGAGGGAATACATACCTGGAAGAGTTACAATGACACATTGCTGATCGTGTGACGTTATAGGAGATCACTGTGAGAGGGAATACATACCTGGAAGAGTTACAATGACACATTGCTGATCGTGTGACGTTATAGGAGATCACTGTGAGAGGGAATACATACCTGGAAGAGTTACAATGACACATTGCTGATCGTGTGACGTTATAGGAGATCACTGTGAGAGGGAATACATACCTGGAAGAGTTACAATGACACATTGCTGATCGTGTGACGTTATAGGAGATCACTGTGAGAGGGAATACATACCTGGAAGAGTTACAATGACACATTGCTGATCGTGTGACGTTATAGGAGATCACTGTGAGAGGGAATACATACCTGGAAGAGTTACAATGACACATTGCTGATCGTGTGACGTTATATGTGATCACTGTGAGGGGGAATACATACCAAGAGGAGTTACTATGACACATTACTAATCGTGTGACGTTATAGGAGATCACTGTGACACGGAATACATACCTGGAGGAGTTACTATGACACATTACTGATCGTGTGACGTTATAGGAGATCACTGTGAGTGGGAATACATACCTGGAAGTCTTACACTGACACATTGCTGATCGTGTGACGTTATAGGAGATCACTGTGACAGGGAATACATACCTGGAGGAGTTACAATGACACATTACTGATCATGTGACGTTATAGGAGATCACTGTGACAGGGAATACATACCTGGAGGTGTTACAATAACACATTGCTGATCGTGTGACGTTATATGTGATCACTGTGAGGGGGAATACATACCTGGAGGTGTTACAATGACACATTACTGATCGTGTGACGTTATATGTGATCACTGTGAGGGGGAATACATACCAAGAGGAGTTACTATGACACATTACTAATCGTGTGACGTTATAGGAGATCACTGTGACACGGAATACATACCTGGAGGAGTTACTATGACACATTACTGATCGTGTGACGTTATAGGAGATCACTGTGAGTGGGAATACATACCTGGAAGTCTTACACTGACACATTGCTGATCGTGTGACGTTATAGGAGATCACTGTGACAGGGAATACATACCTGGAGGAGTTACAATGACACATTACTGATCATGTGACGTTATAGGAGATCACTGTGAGAGGGAATACATACCTGGAGGTGTTACAATGACACATTGCTGATCGTGTGACGTTATATGTGATCACTGTGAGGGGGAATACATACCTGGAGGTGTTACAATGACACATTACTGATCGTGTGACGTTATATGTGATCACTGTGAGGGGGAATACATACCTGGAGGTGTTACAATGACACATTACTGATCGTGTGACGTTATATGTGATCATTGTGAGGGGGAATACATACCTGGAGGTGTTACAATGACACATTACTGATCGTGTGACGTTATAGGAGATCACTGTGAGGGGGAATACATACCTGGAGGTGTTACAATGACACATTACTGATCGTGTGACGTTATATGTGATCACTGTGAGGGGGAATACATACCTGGAGGAGTTACAATGACACATTACTGATCGTGTGACGTTATAGGAGATCACTGTGACAGGGAATACATACCTGCAGGTGTTACAATGACACATTACTGATCGTGTGACGTTATATGTGATCACTGTGAGGGGGAATACATACCTGGAGGAGTTACAATTACACATTACTGATCGTGTGACGTTATATGAGACGTCAGCTCTGCTTTATATAAATAATATCAGCAAATAAAATGATTGCAGCGTTTGTCAAATAAAAAGGAAGTCGGAAGCCTCAGCGGTTTCTATTGTGTGTCTGGGGTTCCCGATCACAGACATGAATTATTCTTTAATAGTAGAAGAATTTACAACTTCCCATTTCCCCCGGAATCTTCTATTGATTCTTACTTCTCCAATCCATGGCACGGCTGAGTTCCCTCGGGGCACCTTTCATTAATGATTGCTTCTATACAAAGGTCTCTATTCATGAGAGGTTCTCTGCTCAATTCTGGACAACAACCCTCATCGGGGACTTTCACAGACAACAAGGGGCCTTCTTTATATAACTTACGGAGGGAAGTGCAAAATCAGAGAGCTCATAGCAGCCAATCAGAGAGCTCATAGCAGCCAATCAGAGACCTCATAGCAGCCAATCAGACAGCTCATAGCAGCCAATCAGACAGCTCATAGCAGTCAATCAGACAGCTTATAGCAGCCAATCATACAGCACATAGCAGCCAATCATACAGCACATAGCAGCCAATCAGACAGCTTATAGCAGCCAATCAGACAGCACATAGCAGCCAATCAAAATGTTCATAGCAGCCAATCAGATGGGTTATAGCAGCCAAGTAGACGGATTATAGCAGTCAATCAAACAGCTCATAGCAGCCAATCAGAGAGCTTATAGCAGCCAATCAGACAGCGCAAAGCAGCCAATCAAACAGCTCATAGCAGCCAATCAGAAAGCTCATAGCAGCCAATCAAAAAGTTCATAGCAGCCAATCAGATGGGTTATAGCAGCCAATCAGACAGAGCAAAGCAGCCAATCAGACAGCTCATAGCAGCCAATCAGACAGACAATAGCAGCCAATCAGAAAGCTCATAGCAGCCAATCAGAAAGCTCATAGCAGCCAATCCGACAGCTCATAGCAGCCAATCCGACAGCTCATAGCAGCCAATCCGACAGCTCATAGCAGCCAATCAGACAGTTCACATCAGCCAATCCGACAGCTCATAGCAGCCACTTAGACAGCTCATAACAGCCAATCAGAGAGCACATAGCAGCCAATCAGAAATAGGGATTTTATATATGGCGTGGAATGTATGAAGTAACAAAATATAATATACATTTTTCCCCCCAGATGATTACAGTATATATATATATATATAT